TCCACGTTTCTTTTGAATTCAGCTGCTTTCCTCCAGTTGCCAAGGCAGCGGAACTGGGATTTTGCTCGCGCTGGGCTTAATTGGCCAAGTTTGCGTACTTGATTTCTGGCGAGATTCAATAACTCAATTGCGACGTTGTAGCCCCAGCTTGTGATTCATTGAGCCTGTGGATCATGATGCAGACATAAAGCATTCAACAGCAATGATTGTAGGAGCTAAAGCTTCGTTTGCATCTTTGATGTCCCGCCTGCCCCTCCGCCCAGCATCAATGATTTCCTGTCAGTGCCTATGGCGGGTAAGTAAAGAACATTACGCGGAAGGATGAGGAAAGGGGAACGTTGTGCTGGGCGTGTGGGGTATCCTCAATAATCGTAACCTTGAGGACCCTAGCAATATGTGGGATCACAAGGGGTTCCTGGTTCTCCATAGGCTGCTGGCTTAAAGGGACTTCACATGTGTGACGGTGACATGGACGTTTCCTGACAGTGCCGACGGCAGATAGGCAAAGAGCGTTACATGGTGGGAAGAGTGAATTCTTCGCGCATGGACCTTGATGCCGGACGCAGAGGCAGTGATCACCCTAAACCCTAAACCTTAAACTCTAAACCCAGAGGCAGTGACAATCATCTATGAGTATTTCGAGAAAATCTGCAAGGAGCCAGCAGCCTCTGTCGGTCAGAATTGAGCAAGCGGTTGCTTCTGAGCGAACTGCGCTTGTGTACTGTTGCTTTCTTGTGCAATCAGTCTTTGCAGGCAGCTGGGGCGAGACACTCCCACCATTCCTCCTTGTTCCTAAGCTCTATAATAATGGCTATATATACCCCATTGTGTTACAGTAGTTTCCATTTTCTTTCTTTTTTACTATATAACCCTACTATAATATACTATACTATACTAGATTACACTCTACCGTACTGAAAGCTGGGATCTTTCGATATGGTTTGAGTGTTAAAGCCCTGAAGATGGCCAGGAAGAAGGAGCTGGAGCTTCGTTTTTCTTCTAGATGAATGGCAGCGGCCTCAAGGTTTAGGGTATAGGGTTTAGAGTTTAGGGTTTTAGGGTTTAGAGTTTTAGGGTTTCGGGTTCAGGGTTTTGGGTTTCGGGTTTAGGCTTTAGGGTCTTCTAGATGAATCGCAGCAGCCTCAGTGTTTTTTCTTGTTTCTTTTGAGCCCCCCTGCGAGCCGACGCGCGATGATAAGGAGTACATGGTAGTTTCCCAAAATAGCGCGACCCCAATATGGACCCCCAAATGTGTCCAAATACCATAATTCTCATTATAGGGACCCCCCCCAAAACGTACCCCTCATTTCTGGAAACCCTGAACCCTGCGCCTTAATATCTCTGTATCATCCTATAAACCCGAATTTTGGGAAACGGGATGCGGATCCACGCCATCCTGAGTCTAAGGTGTTGTGGAGGAAGCTAATGTAAGTTACTATAGTATGGAAATCCCGGTATTGGCGATATACCCATCTTATGGTAACTAAATTTCAGTTCATTAGTAGCAACCCAGGAATTTTCTCGTGGGTTTAAGATTGCAAGTGGTCATCCTTTCAGGGCTTTCACTGGGGTTTGCGGTTTAGGGTTCCACAGAAATAGGTCCCCACGCAGCAATACTGGTATAACAGGAATATATGGGAGCCTTAACATAACTGCCACTTTCCCTCGTGGTCGCTGGTACTGCGTGGGGGCGCATCCTCACACAAATCGGGGGGTTCCACAGAAGGACTTTCAAAACCGCCCCCAGTTCTGAGACATCTTTTTCGCCACTGCATGTCATCCTAGCTGAGGTTGGAAGACCCTCCAGTTACAGCTAACACTGACACATGTAGAAAGCACTATCGTGCTTGGAAATGTTCACTTTCAAACCCTAAACCCTAAACCCCTGAACAACATGATACCTTGGGACTCCCTGGGGAGGACAATGCACCTGTATGGCGATCACCGTCCCCCTAATTTATTCAAAAACGTATTACTTCTTGTCCTAAGTGGCTGTCAAAAAAGGATTCCTCATTTTGGAGAAAAGATGCACCTGTGTGTCGGTGGCAGCAGAAATTTCAACATTAGGGGCTAGCAGCCCCCCCCGAAATTTTGAATTGAAACAATCGCTGCCAATCCCAAACCCACCTCCCGCTAATTCTGAATATCATCCTCCCTTAGATGACGATGCTATCTTTGGAAGGCTTGTTGTTAGGGCGGGTGGGGCTTTCACACCCTCCCCACTAAGCCCTAAATTGGGTCGGTGGGGGCTTGAATTTTCCGCGCCTGGCTAGCAAGGAGTGAAGGACAGGATCCTTCTAGTAGTCCCTGTATGATCCCCAAGAATGTACTAATTTGCACTTTCTTTTGCAATTTTTCGTTCCCTGCGAGCCAGAGGTAAGTAACATCACCCCAATATGTACTCCAGGTTCCTTCTTGTTTTTGATATTCTTTTCCATTCTATTCTCCGTGATTAGGGCAATGTCGCTGTACTTCCTCCATATCGCCGGGCTTCCTCTGATATCTCCCCTACAAAATCCCCTATGGGATGTTCAGCAGACGGGTAGGCAGACAAACCGAACCCTTCCGAAGAGTCAAGGACTGAGCTGAGGACGACGGTCTTCTGAAAATGCCAAGAATCATAGAGTCATAAGGGGACCCCTGAAATTAGACCCCCCCAGATTGAGACTAATGAGCCCCAATAGGGAGCTCTTCACTTATTACGGATTATTTGCTTCTTTTATCTGGAGGGTCCTTTTGGGGGTCCCCTTACAATCCTATGAAGAACCAGGGAGCTCGCTGCTCCACTTTGGACATTCTTCCCCTTGGGCTTAGGCTTCAGGGTACACTTCCACATGAAGACGTCGCTGTTCATGTCAATGCCATCATCGTCATCATCAGTGTCATTGCTAATTACAAGCCTTAAACCCTAAGTGTCATTTTGCTAGTACCATGCTTGTTTTCTGTTGCTTTACTCTTGGACCTGTTTTAGTGTTGGGGTTCACCGCGGGAAAAACTAGGGCCTTAACAGAAAGAAATTGAGGTCCCTCATTGATTTAGATGGGAGAATCTTACCTTTTTTTTAAGGCCCCAAAATCAAAACACATAATAGCGGACCTCACATCATTACCCCCGATCCTGAATAAGCGGGCCCCAAAACACATTATAGCGGCCCTCGAGGCAAAACCGGGTCCAACATTATCTATGGTTCACTGAAGAGTGCTGCTGCTTTCGTTGTTCCATGTCGGGAATCAGGGTCCTTACCATGACTGGTTTATCATAGGTGCTTACGCATGGATTTTGAGCAGTAATCGCCTTCGTGCTATTCTTATTCTTAGGTGCCTCTTTGTTGCAAGTAATGATGGCTTCCATCATTATATGGAGGGGGAAGAATTCCCAAGCTTTGACTCACCCTGTTGAACTAACACACAGAGAACGATGGAATCGCCTGCCACTTGCGCAAGAGATTGCAGCATTGACAGGCTCGGGCCTTCGCCTTTTGTGAACTTTGGCTTTCTTCTGTTGGCTATAGTCAAAACTCCTTAAAACGGGTTTTATAGGGTTATATAGGGGACTATTATAGGGGATTGTAACGGGGATATTAGGAGTTGAGACTATTTGCCTTCCATAAGATGATGAAGTTCAAGCATATCTGGCAAGGAGAACTAAGCTCGAATGACCTCTCCCAGGCTGCATCATGGCAATCGGTTTAGGGTTTAGGGCTACAAGGCAATTGACCGCCTTTTCTCTTTATTGCCGGACCCTTCTGATTTTTCTTGGTGACAGTTTTGTGGTTACTGGTCTGACACAGATAGAACCCTAAACCCTAAACCCACATGCGGCATTCCCAGAACTAGGGACTCCTTCTCAATATTCGCGGGTACCTAGAAGAGGGTCCTTTTGCAGCTTGTTTCTGGAAACTTCCATATCTAAAGGGACGTGAATGGGAACCCCAAGACAGGGAACTCCAAGAATATATAGTAGGAATATGTTACAGAATATGACATGAATCTACCTACTAGGGTGCTTAAGTTCCCATGATATTCCTACTATATTGTTGAGGTTCACTGGTTGGGGTTCCCATCTACTGCCTTAGAAATCCCCTGTAGTCTACACTCCTAGCAGCCCCTTAATAATCCTTATCGTTGGTACTCCCCTACATGATCCCGTATATATCCCCCCTTCAAGGAGTTTGGTCTCTAAACCCTAAACCCTAAACCCTAAACGAGCTAGGCCAGAGTGAGGAGGCTGTCCTTTTCGTCTGTGATGGAACGAGGCCTTCAGGCCATGACCGCACAACCGCGGACAAAGCGTGGGGATTTGGGAGTTTCCCAAACTTAGGGTTCAGGGTCTAGGGTTTAGGGGAGTCTCCCACAATTCGGGGTACTTTTTTTTTGGGGGTTCCCTATAATATTGTCGAATTTTGGGGTCTATACTGGGGTCGCAACTACCATGTGGATGCTGGGGGAAGTGGTTTACTTACTGGTTCTTAGTAGGGACTATGGGGATAGAGAATAGTTATAGGGAGGATATTCCCAAGTTCCCTACTAAGAGGCAGCAAGTTACTGAGTTGCTGTTAATCAAGGAAATGAAGTTGAGTTACCATAGTGTGGGTATATAGTTAATAGGGTTGCCTTATTACAGTGACTTCGCTTACGTTCCTTAACAGCAAGCAAGCTTGCGGATGGTAATCGGTTGATACCAACAATACTGCATGACCCTAAGTACCTTAAACCTTGCGGGCCACGGAACTATGGTATACTAAGATCATGCGGCATGTTCCCAGACCGCGTAAAGGATCCAAAAGAACCCTAAGAATCCCCTAGTTTCCCCAATGTAGTAATGGGTTCATATTGGGGGGGGTTCCACTTTTTGGATCCTTTAGGGGGTATGGGAGAGAAGCAAGATCTGTTTGGACCTCAAGCGGCCGTCAGCTGTAGGGGTTGGGGAGCCTCGGGATCCCTTTAGGGTGTTAAGGTTTTTGGTCAGCCCCACCCCACCCCAATTTTCCGTGACAGCCGATGCAAGCGCTATGGCCTGTGGGAGCTGTGGCGGGGCTTGGTGCTGCCGACTGTGCCTATTTGACCTATTCGAAGGTGCGGGTGTTCTTCCGAAAGATTATCCTTTGTGCCCTAAACCCTAAACCCGCATAGCCCCAAGATAATCCTCCCTTACATCCGTGAAATCCCAACGCCCTTAATGTTGCACACCTCCCAGGTGACGCAGGTACCCCTGGCCTGCCCTGTGGAAGGGGGCTGCACTGAGGCCTGAGGCTACTACTAGGTCTTTGCTTAGGGTTTAGGGTTCACGGTTTAGAGTAGCAAAGCATGAGGGAATTGTAAAGGGAATGGAAGCTGTCATATTGCTCAGGGTATGAGAAGGTAAGGGCTCAGGTTTGTTAGTAGGGAATGGGGAATGAACCCCAATAGAAATCCGAAGATGATCCCGGACGCTAATGCCTACAACCCATTCCTCTATTCTCTTCTAGGCACCAGGGAGGCTTGTCCCTCATTGCAGGTGCTGAATTCCAGCTATGCCTCGATTGGTCCCGTGCCATTGTCCGCCTTGGGTTTGGTGGCATACCTGGCTGTTGCCGTTCTGAGTGTCTCTCCCCAGAACAAGGACCTGTTGTATTGGCTCTGCTTGACAATGGCCTTGTCTTCCCTTGGCCTCACCGGCATCCTCATCTTCGTGCTGCAGGCACCTTGCCCTTACTGCGCTGCGTCAGCCTTCGTCTCTGCGATGCTCCTGACGCTGGTGGAGACACGAAGAGCACGCGATGCCGCGCGGGAGGCACGCCAGGTCACGGTGGTGCAAACCAACGAGGGCGTGGCCAGCATGCTGCCAGGGTTCGAGCCGTCAGCAACTGCCATGACCCAAGCAGTGGCCGAGGAGGCCGAGCCCCGGCGCGCGGTGCTCGGCCTCTCGGCCGTGCTGGCTCTTGGCGCGCTGAGGGGCGGCACCCTGCCATCGCGGCGGCTACAAAATGCCTGGGCCTACTTCACGCAACTTGGACCCGTTTCTTTGCACTTTGCGCTCACTCTCTCTCTCTCTCTCTCTCCCTCGCTCCCTCTCTCTTTCTCCCGCAGTTGAGGCTTGTGGAGCAGTACAAGCCAAACCACCCGCCAGTCCTCAGCAATTCCTCGAAGGCTGCCGACACGCACTGGAGTCTTGTGCCCGGCTTTTGTTTTGAGAGTCGCAGGCTGAGATGGCCCTTGCAAGACATCTCCGGAAGATCGGGGCAGCCTGCTATTCGATCCGGGCTCAGTCAAGATCGGGTGCCCCCTCTAGTAACCCAGACCTCGTACTCTCAGGACGTGGTGGTGCCCTCACTGTCAGGAGCAACGTGAAAGCTTTGGCAAGGAGGCCGTGGAGGCACGGAGATAGAAACAGTATGCAAGTACAAGCGATCTGACAGCTGTTTTTAGGAGTATCTAACTGCATGTGTTCTGGATCTGAATATTACACTTGTGTTTTTCAGGTTGCGCCCTTCATCGAGTGCTCATCGAAGAGTAGACAGCAGCTTCCAGTTTGCCGTGATGCGGACATTGAAAGCTATCCCACGTGGTGGCTTGGATGGTTAAATGGGGCCAGGGGTGAGTGCGCGCGCGCGCATGTGTGTCAACATGACTCTAAAACCTACACCCCTAAAACACTGGACTCAGGATCATAGATGGCAAGAAGTGCCTCGTCCGCAACTAGTCGTAATAATAGTAATCAGAGTAAT